CCTCCCTGACTGGCAGGGAGGGAGGGAGAGGAGCTGCTTCCTTCGAAATTTAAGGGACATCATTTAAGGGACATTTAAGGGACATCCATCAATAAGGGACAGCAGCGGGACATGGCGCTGGAATAAGAGACTGTCCCTTCAAATAAGGGACGCTTGACAGCTATGTTGAAGACCCCCAAAAAATTTAAAGGAAAAACAACAACTGGGTGTACATTTCCAAAATATAAGATAAAAAACAAATAAAATAAAACCTAGATACAGCAACAGTGGCAAATGGCTTTAGATACTTATTAGGTACATAAATTACCATATATGTCTGTGGCCTTTTAGACGTGGGTGGGATGCTTATTAATGTATTTCTCTTTCCTCTTGGTTTTAATTTACTTATATGGGGTTTATTTTCTGTTTGTCTGTTTGTTTTTAAGTCGCTTTGGGTTGCCCCTGGCAAAACAAAGCAACTAACAAATTTAATAATAATAATAATCAGTGCTTTTCCCCCTAAAAAATGTTTAGGGGTACTCTCATTTTGACTCAAGAAAATCACAATTTTATAGGTCAAATGGGGAAAAATAAATACAGTAAATGGACAAAAGTACAAAGATTGACAAAATGTTATAATAATAATAATAATAATAATAATAATAATAATAATTTTTTATTTATATCCCGCCCTCCTTAGCCGAAGCCAGGCTCAGAGCAGCCAACAACAGTAAAATAATACAACATTCTAAAATCATTTCATTATAAAATCAGTTCAAATCAAATTAATGGCAACCATTGGGCTAGAGTTCTGTGAGGATTGTCAAAGGAGGGGGTCTGGCTGTGCCCTGGCCAAAGGCCTGGTGGAACAGCTCTGTCTTGCAGGCCCTTCGGAAAGATGTCAAGTCCTGCAGGGCCCTAGTCTCTTGTGACAGAGTGTTCCACCAGATTGGAGCAACAGCTGAAAAAGCCCTGGCTCTGGTTGAGGCCAGCCTAACCTCTCTGTGGCCCGGGACCTCCAAGATGTTTTTGTTTGAAGACCGTAAGGGGTTTAGGGGTATGCACCCTACTGTGTCCGTCCCCCCGAAAAAAAACACTGATAGTGATAACAATGATAATAATATCAGAAGTGAGGAAGTGGATCCTTGCCTTCCCCCAATGCCAGGCCAACTTTGACAGGTGGGTGAGTCTTTGCATGCCTGGACAACCAGCTGATTGTGGGTGCTTGCCAAGTCCTTTCTCTTTGCAAGTGGCAAGAAGCATGGTGGTGATTGCTAGCAGATTATCAGGTGATTGGCAGGCCCCACACCTCAACTGGAGGGCAAGGGTGTGTAGCATGGCCAAAACAGTCTCATGGGCCAAATGGGGAAATCTGGTGGGCCGCTTCTGCTGTCATAAACACTGACAGGGCAATAGAACTGATCAGTCAATGCAATTTCCCCATTTTGTGAATATGGTGAATTTGCTCAACTTGTAAATCTGCGCAGTTGGAACTTCATGGATTTCAGCTGCTGGAAAATCATTTCATTTATCTTGCTTCTATCATCACTTAGTTGTCCATAACATCCAAGACAGCCATTTTACAGTACAGTTTTCTGAGAAGAATTTCAGTGAGAAACCACAGAAAAAAACTTTTACCTGTTGCAATAAACATTGCCCGAGGTGGATAAATGATACAGAAAATCTGTTCTGTCTGTCTCTCACTCTGCAGACACTTGATTCCCTTGTGTAACGTAATTGCTGGGGGGGGAGGGGGGGAGCTAAGACAATATACTTCATTATCCAATGTTGCATTTCAGTCTCTTGTAAAGTCTATATATGTCAAAGAATAAAGGTTTAGATTGTGCCTCATCATGATAATGTGGCCTTTTCATTTACAGAAGTCAATGCATCCGGATGAGGTTAATCATAGTAGTTTCTTAGGTGTCAATTACGTTCATCAACTCTTTACAAAAGAGAAAGATATGAGCTGGAATCCTTAATTTTTATATTCTTGCAATGGTCTGCAATGGTATTATATTATGTAGGCTGCAATATTATGCTTTAAATCAGGTTTCCTCAAACTCAGCCCTCCAGATGTTTTTGGCCTACAACTCCCATGATCCCTAGCTAGCAGGACCAGTGGTCAGGGATGATGGGAATTGTAGTCTCAAAAACATCTGGAGGGCCGAGTTTGAGGAAGCCTGCATTAAATAAACCCCACTGAACTCATTGTGGCTTTCAGACATGCATAGGATCCCATTTGAGGTCATAGCTCATGTATTAAAATGTGACACATTAAAATTCCAAGATTAACCCCAAAAGAGTTAACTGAAATAACCAGAAATGATATAGTACAAATATGTAAAGGGACCCCTGACGATTAGGTCCAGTCGTGACCGACTCTAGGGTTGCGGTGCTCATCTTGCTTTATTGGCCGAGGGAGCCGGCGTACAGCTTCCGGGTCATGTGGCCAGCATGACTAAGCCACTTCTGGCGAACCAGAGCAGCGCACGGAAACACTGTTTACCTTCCCGCCGGAGCGGTACCTATTTATCTACTTGCACTTTGACGTGCTTTCAAACTGCTAGGTTGGCAGGAGCAGGGACCGAGCAACGGGAGCTCACCCCGTTGTGGGGATTCAAACCGCCGACCTTCTGATCGGCAGGTCCTAGGCTCTGTGGTTTAACCCACAGCGACACCCGTAGTAGTCCCAAAAATACAAAATACATACAAAAGGTATCTCAGATATGTATAAACTTACAACAGGAACTTTTATAACCTAATTCCTAAAACCTCAGAGTGTATGTTCACTTTCATTAAGGCAGAAGTACACAACATGATACTCTCCAGCTGTCTGACTTCAACACACATCATGCCTGACCTCTGACCATACTCAGAAGGCTGATAGCAGTGGAGTCTAACAACAAATGGTGGGCACAACTCTGGCTACTCCTGAATTAAGGCCTATTTCTCATGTTACTCTTGGGGTGTGGGGGCTGCTCACACATAGTACAGCCCCAAGTCACTCCAGTAACATATGAAAATGAGAAGCAAAATTGCAATACTGTAGCCACATGGTTACCAGTGCTGCTTGCCTCTAAGAAAGGACACCGCAACTGAAGAAGGATGTTGGCAAGTTGGAACGTGTGCAGAGGGGGCAACCAAGATGATCAAGGGTCTGGAAACCAAGCCTTATGAAGAACGGTTGAGGTTACTGAGTATGTTTAGCCTGGTAACGAGGAGACTGAGAAGAGATGTGATAGCCATCTTCAAATATCTGAAGGGCTGTCACATGGAAGAGGGAACAAGCTTGTTTTCTCCTGCTGTGGAGGGTAGGACTCGAACCCATGGCTTGAAGTTAAAAGAAAGGAGATTCTGACTAAACATCAGCAATAGCTTTCTGACAGTAAGAGTGGTTCAACAGCGGAATTGTCTCCCTTGGGAGTTTGTGGACTCTCCCTCTTTGCAGGTTTTTAAGTAAAGGTTGGATGGCCATCTATCTTGGTTGCTTTAGCTGAGATTCCTGCATTGTAGGGGGCTGGACTAGATTAACCTCGGGGGTCCCGTCAAACTCTACAATTCTATGATTCTATAACATGGATAGGACAAATTGCCATATCACCCATACTAGCTATCATCCAGTGAAGTTGAGAGAGACAAAAGGAAGTGCGTCTTTACTCAGTTAAAGTACAGAATTTTGCTTCCACAAGATATAACTTCCATCTACTTGCATTTAAAAGGGGATTAGACAGATTTGTGGCCCTACCAGTTACTGGAGAACAACAATGGCAGAGAGGTATTGTCAGCCACTCGGAGGTTGGCTTGTGGGAAAGAGGATTCGGGCTCAATAGGCTTTTGGTTTGATCCCACAGGGCTCTTCCTATGTTCAGATGAACGTCTTTTTAACAGGAAAAACATAATGACAGCATTTAAACTGATTATGAGCAAGGTTTCAAAAATTCCAATCCAATTGGTTATACAGCTTTGCCTGAATTAACTCGAATGTGCATAAGAAATAAATAAAGGCAATAAGCTTCTTTTGACTCTTTTCAGGTATATTACTGAGTTCATTTTTGTTCCTTTGTATGCTTCACACCTTCAAAAATGGTTGCAGAAGCACAAATAGCTGTTTGAAGTTTACGAAGTGGAGACTTTGACTTAATGGTTCAGAAGCAATCACAGATATCAAAAGAACTCATTTAAAGACTGAAATAGTGAAGTACATCGCAGGAAAGGAAACTCAGCAGTTTTGAAACAATAATTCTGATTTCTTGTTGGCTGTAATAAATAGAACCAGCCACCCCACCCTTAGCACTGTGTTCAGTAAATTACCGGTAAGTTGAGATTGACACGAGGCAGTGGCAAAGATTCTGCGTTTAGAAGTTATCAAAGCAAAATGCTACTAAAACAATAATGCTTTCAATTTAGCTTGCTTATGCAGTAGATCAGGCTTCCTCAAACTTGGCCCTCCAGATGTTTTTGGCCTACAACTCCCATGATCCCTAGCTAGCAGGACCAGTGGTCAGGGATGATGAGAATTGTAGTCTCAAAACATCTGGAGGGCCAAGTTTGAGTAAGGCTGCAGTAGATAGTCTCTACAACCACAGCAGATGCTGTATCAGTCTCTACAGGCACAGCAGATGCTGTAACCTTCTAACAGTTTGACTTCACCTACAAAGAAACACTCCTCCATTGTCTCCTGAGATAGATGGATGCCAGCAAGAATTGTGCAGGGCTGTGGAGTGGACATCTGATTGAAAGGCTCTTTATTGACCTTCGGAATATCTGGCTTCTCTTTCCTTCCATATTTATTCACACTTACTTTAAATGCTACTTAAATGCTACCTACTTTTTCCTCAGGCTTTTCCTCAGCGCTGTTAGGGCAAGGGAAACAGTGCCCCCCATGTTGCTGGACATGGGACCCCATCATCCTTAACGATTGGCTGTACTTTCTTTCTGGAAGGAAAAGAGCCCCCAGCTCTTATATAGATTGTGCCAACAATTCTGCACCAGCATTACAACTGCCTGTGCCACGTGACATCCCAGATAGCTCAGTTGATTGGAGCATGGTGCCCATAATGCCAAGGTTGCAGGTTCGATCCCCGTATGGGACAGCTGCATATTTCTGCATTGCAGAGGGTTGGACCAGATGATCCTCAGGGTCTCTTGCAATACTACAATTCTATGGTTTTATGTTTTATTGTGGAGAGGCCTAATCCAACACCGACTTATCTGCATGTGTACTTTAACTATACCAAATGTATTTGAATAAATTTATATGGCGTACTTCAAGTGTTGTTTTGCTTGTGATTATTGTTATACTGTTGAAAAAAATCAGTGAATATATTGATGTAAGTCTGAGCTGCTTCAGTGCTAAAGCTCCATCTCCAGCCATCCCCTCCAGCGGAAGCAGACAGTGGCATTTGACAACTAAAATAGGGCACAGGTTCAGAAGTACGTGGCTGGACAATGACTCTCCCGAGAAGTTATAATGATGGCTGGCTGTATCATTTATATGAGCCTCAACACACTTTCTAGCAGGATGGCAAGTCACACAGATTTTAGGCAGTGTGGTCACATTGCCAGAGTTCTTCCATGAATAAAAAATAGCAGTTGATTACAGCAGATAAGTATTAGCTGCTCTGCAAAGTACTCTATCTCATGTAAACATTTGTTAGGCTAACCTCATACAAAAGGGGGCAAGCTCCCTTAAATACATGGGATGGGATTCAAATAGGGCTGCAGCTCTGCCAGAAACAATAGCCGTGCCAATTTGCAACAAGGGTTTCTCTTTATTTCATGGAGCTGTTTGCTTTCTGCGCTCTGCCTCTTCTGAATGGAGAATTGGTCAATACTGATCTCTCTCTCTCTCTCTCTCTCTCTCTCTCTCTCTCTCTCTCCATTATCTTCTTTCCCACCCACCCAGCCCACTGCCAGTCCTTCCAAAGGGAACACTTTTCCAAGAAGGGATGCAGCAAGGTTTCTATATAAGCCGGGCAGCTGTTGGGCCATCTGCTAGTGAGACCAGCTGATTAGCATTCGAGGGGAGGCTCACAGTGCTGGCTATTGATACAAGAGAAGAGAGGAAATTGCAGGCATGGTACAGTGTGTCAATATCCCAGTCCTTCCTGGGAGGATGCACTTTAGTTTCAGATGAAGGCCAAACCTGAATGGAGTGGTAGTTAGAATGCCCACCAGGCAGTTGAGTAGGCCCGGTATAGGTTTCCAAGTTTGGGCCTTGGTTGCAAGGTTAAAAATGGGAGTGGGGTGGGCTCTGAAAAGCAAAAACGAAAAGTTCCTAGCACACTTTATTTTGGCTGCATTCACACTATGTGTTCAAAATTCTATGGTGCCACCTTAAACAGCCATGGCTTCCCCTCAAGGGTTCTGGGAGCCGTAGTTTGTTAATGGGGCTGAGAGTTCTTAAGAGACCTCTATTCTAAGGTTACCAGATTTTTTTCAGTGACTCCAGGGACACTTTTATTAAGTAGTGGGTGGACATAGCAGACGAGACAGAGATTTCTATAAGTACAGTGGTGCCCCGCAAGACGAATGCCTCGCAAGACGGAAAACTCGCTAGACGAAAGAGTTTTCCGTTTTGGAGGTGCTTCGCAAAACGAATCTCCTATGGGCTTGCTTCACAAGACGAAAATGTCTTGCGAGTTCCTGCGTTTTTCCCCCCTTTCCCCCCCTTTTTCTAAGCCGCTAAGCCGCTTATCTGCTTATCCGATAAGCTGATAAGCCGCTAAAAGCCGCTAATAGCGCTAATAGCGCTAATCCGCTAATCCGTCAATGGGCTTGCTTCGCAAGACGAAAAAACCGCTAGACGAAGAGACTCACAGAACGGATTCTTTTCGTCTTGTGAGGCACCACTGTAGTTCTTTATAAGTAAGCTGGAACTGACTGAACAGCACACAGCTTAGCCGGCCTGCTTTTATAGGCAGCCGGCTGTCAACATTGTAACAACAACAGCCCAGGGTTTCCCGCCTAAATTAACTTATGTGGACCTGAGTGAAAACTGCACAGTATACACAATCTCCCCTGGTCCAGGGTGAGAACTTCAATACATAACAACTTTAATCAATTAATTAAATAAATTAATACTACACATTTGGGACGTTGATGCTGCAGCGATGGCGGTGGCAGAGGGGCGGCCGCCGCCTTGACCACAACCGCCACGTTTCCCCTTCCTTCGAGGCTTCTATCTCCTTTTTCCATGAGCTTGGGCAGCCCCTAAGTTGTTGGTTCTTCGGTGGTGGTGGTGGTGGGGAAGCGGTGTGCGGTGGGTCAGGCATGGAAAGCGGAGAAGGAGGGCCGAGAGTGGTGGCAAGGCTTGGGCATCACAATGCCTTCCTTCTCATCGGAGCAGCCCCAATTCCACTCCTACTTGCATGCAAGCAGGAGGGGGCAGGGATCCCTCAGTTGTGAAGGGAGGCTTCCCATTGCCTAACTGAGAGATCCCTGCCCCCTCCTGCTTGCACACAAGCTCTGATAGGCAGTGTGATGCCTCCCTTCTCAGCTGGGAGATCCCCGCCCCACTCCTGCTTGCACGCAAGTAGGAGTTGGGAGGCTGCTCTGATAGACAGCATGAAGCCTCCCTTTACAGCTTAGTTGCTGGGGTCAGGGAAGGTGGAGGCAGCCCAGAAGCTGCATCTTAGAGCCCCTGCACCACCATCATATGGGGACTTCCAAGCAGCTCCTGAAGCCAGCCAGAGCCAACTGCTCTGGGCTGCCAAGACTGCCGCATTTCCCGGGGACATTAGATGAAATCCGGGGACATTCCGGGGATGGAATTTGTCCGGGGACTTATTCGCAAATACAGGGATTGTCCCCGGGAAATGGGGACGTCTGGTAACCCTACTCTATTCCCCTCACAGAGATACAATTGACAGAGTTCCCTGGGAAGAAGAATTGACCACTCTGGAAATGGTAGTTCTGCGAAAGGAACAGGGGTTTCACACTTTGGGCTGACTGAAGCCAATCAGAGTGAACAGAGGTGAGTTAGCCATTGAGGATTGACTCCAAGGGTCACTCTGGGGAAGGTGCAAAGGAAGAACTCCTAGGAGGAGTTGTTGTTCTGTATGCTCCAAAGCTAACCATTTGGAAACACTGAAAACGCGTGCTGCTTCTGTTTCAAGGGAATTGCATGCAAGTTCTGTTATGTACAATGGGACTTCAAGGAGAGCCCAACTTAAGTCTCCCTGAAAGAAGAAGTTCATCCTCCAAATCTTTTGGCCATGTACCGTATGTGCACAGAAAATAGTAGATCTAGCTGAAAGGCAACACATGCAGATCAGCATCAATCATTGCAGTACAACCCTAATTATTATTGTTAATTTATAAGATTATTGTATAATCTTAGATTGTTAAAAGGGGCATAGCTGTGAAGAGCTGTGGTTGCTACTGCAATTTCAAGTTTGCCTTTCTGTGATTCTGCAGTTTTTCCGCCACAAGCTCCTTGGCAACCCATGGTTACCATTTACTTCTGTGTGCAAGTTCTGAGGGCTTATTCAAACAATTCTGCGAAGAGCTTTTCCAAGTTCAGCAGGGATCTGCTTTTGTTGCCATCCATTCCAATGTCTTCATGTAATTGTGTTTTTTCCCCTTATGGAAGTCTAAAGTGTTGCAGAAATCTAAAAATGAAATGAAGTGTTTACCACAACACAATGGCCGCATACAAGAGGGCTCTGCAGCAACATCTTGCCACAAGGAGGTCTTCCTTTTCAGGATTCCATCCACTCCATTCTGCTACATTCCTTCAGTTTTCTCCCCGTCTTCTCCAGTCCCTGGTCAGTCGGCATTCAGTGTCTGCTGAGCATGTTCAGTCATCATTGGGCTGTTATTGGAGTCCTGTCTCCTTAGGTTTGCCACCCACAATACTTTTCATACTTAGGGTTTCCTTAAGTCTGCTGATAACCTCTCTTTTGGCAAAACAAGGGCCAACACTTGGAGAACAGAGATCACTTTCTGTATAGACCAATGGTTCCCAATTGGTGGTTTGCAGAAACCAGGGCTCTGTGTAACCCAACTACCAAAAAGATATCAAAATTTTCAGAAGTAGGGGGTCTATGGCTTGGCTTTTGGAAAACAGGGGGGCGGGGTCTGCAGTATTTAGCTAATTGGGAATTGCTGGATAGGCAATTAGTACACTGATGTGGATCCTATTGTTAGAAACTGGTGGTTGAGTTGCTGACCACTATCCATTTCAGAGGGAAGCAGGGATGAGTCCATTGATTTACATGGGCTTAAATGTGTTGGATTTTGAGCTTTGTTAAAATTGACTTCTTGTATCAGATCTAGAGAAAAGAGGTGATTGGATCTTTGGGTTTCTTCCCCGGCAAAGAAAAGTGACCTTTTGTATGGTATTGGAAGAGGCATTTCTCTTAGATATTTAGTCAAATAACCAATAGTGTCAGAAAAATGTAGCACTTGTATAAATCACTGGTTTGGTTTTTTTTGGTATACCTGTCATTGGTATCTAATTTTTTTTAGCTTATTATACCTTAATCAACTATTGGAAAAATGCCCACAAAAGTTTGGAAGTTTTAAACTCAACTGATGACTATCCCCTTAGAATATGGAACTACACTAATTAAAATTTCATGGGCTGTGAATTTGGTGTTAACCTGCTGGGGGACAAAAGTTTGATTTCCTACCAAGTGATGATTAAAGTGCAGAAACGGCAGTGGGAATCCTAGATCTCACATCTAGGTAGCTTTTTCTTTGCAATTCCTCTAGAGGGAGTTCCTTTCCCTAGCTCCCCACAGTGGATCCAACAGATCTGGCCAATTTCCCAGCTTTTTAATAGACTGAGAAATTGTGGTTTGACCTAGACGTTGAATATCAAGTGAATCTGGAAAAGCACAACAGAGGTAGGTCTAGTAATTAGTCATCTTGGAGTTGCTTTCTGTCTCAGAGGAAAGGCAGGATATGCATTACAGAATAAAAGCAAAATGCTTTTCAGGAGTTCCAGACCTGGTGAATGCAAAATAAATAAGGGTTTCCCCTTGTGGTTTACTGATTGATTAAAAAATAGACCCCCCACAATCTGCTCCTGAAAATTCTATAAGGACTCCCTACACTGTAACATAACCTATGATCTATCATTGCTCTG